CCACTGCACTCCAGCCTGGGCGACAGAGCGAGACTCCGTCTCAAAAAAAAAAAAAAAAAAAAAAAAAAAGATATCGAGACCATCCTGGCCAACATGGTGAAACCCCGTCTTTACTGAAAATACAAAAAATTAGTTGGGCATGGTGGCATGGACCTGTAGTCTCAGCTACTCAGGAAGCTGAGGCAGGAGAATCGCTTGAACCTGGAAAGCAGAGGTTGTAGTGAGCCAAGATTGTGCCACTGCACTCCAGCCTGGTGACACAGTGAGACTCCATCACAAAAATAAGAATAAAAATAAAATAAAATAAAATAAAGAAGCATCTGACACTCAGACTTTCCCACTCTTCTTACCGTATCCTATCCTATAATTAAAAGTAAAAATAGGGCGGACACGGTGGCTCACGCCTGTAATCCCAGCACTTTGGGTGGCCAAGGCAGGTCGATTACCTCAGGTCAGGAGTTCAAAACCAGCCTGACCAACAAGATGAAACCCCGTCTCTACTTTAAAAAAAAAAATTAGCTAGGCATGGTGGCGCATGCCTGTAATTCCAGCTACTTGGGAGGCTGAGGCAGGAGAATTTTTTGAACCTGGAGGCAGGATTGCAGTGAGCCAAGATCACACCATTGCACTCCAGCCTGGGCAACAAGAGCGAGACTCTGTCTCAAAAAAAAAAAAGTAAAAATAATAAATAAATAAATAAATACATATATAATACAAAAAATTGGGGATGAGAGTAAGAGGAGTAAAAGGCTGGGCATGGTAGCTCATGCCTGTAATCCTAGCACTTTGGGAGGCCAAGGTGGGAGGATCCCTTGAGCCCAGGAGCTAGAGACCAGCCTTGGGCAACAGGGCATGGTGACACACCTTTGTAGCTACTTGGGAGGCTGAGGCAGGAGGACTGCCTGAGCCTAGGAGGTCAAGGCTGCAGTGAGCTGTGATCTCACCAGTGCACTCCAGCCTGGGTGACAGAGCGAGACCGCATCTCAAAAGAAAAAAAAAGTAAAAATAAAATAAAAGAGTTCAAAGTAAAGATTTAAAAGTTTAGCTCTGGTGACTTCCTAATCCCTAAATTATAGTGATTTACACTAATTCCACACTTACTGCCGCAGCCCCACCTCCAGAAGGGCAGACATGGAAGGACCCTATTGTTCTGGGCTTCCTTTCTTTGTCCACTGCCAGCCTCTAAACAGTCACATTAAGCCATCTTTCTCCTACTCTTTGAGATCTAAAAAAGACCTGGGGTTTTCCCTGCCGCTGGGCAAGTTTATGACAAATACTGTTGCTCCCCTATTTTAAAACTTCCCTTTCCCCATAAGAAGCATTTCTGTGGTCACTGGGGACTTTTACAACTAATAATAAACACAGATTCGAGCAGCTCAAAGGGATTCACATATACTTTTTAACAATGATGAGAGAAAGACACAAATAAACGGCCAGTAGTGGTCATCTCCTGGGAGGGGAGTGGGACTGGGTGGAGGGAGGTCAAGGACAACTTAATCTTATCTGAATTGTTAGAATGTTTTGCAGAGGCGGGCATGGTGGCTCACGCCTGTAATCCCAGCACTTTGGGAGGCGGTGGCAGGAGGGTCACTTGAGCCCAGGAGTTGCCGTGGGCAACATAGCAAGACCTCATCTGTACAACAAACAAAACTAAAAATTTAGCCAGACATGGTGGCACACGCCTGCAGTCGTCCAAGCTACTTGGGAGGCTGAGGCATGAGGACCTCCTGATCCCAGGAGATCAAGTCTGCAGTGAGCTGTGATCGCACCACAGCACTCCAGCCTGGGCAACAGGGCGAGACTCTGTCTCAGAAAAAGGAAAGAAGGGAAAAAGAATATTTTGCAAAGAAAATATATCAATGTATCACTTAAATAATTAAAGCAAGGAATCATGGAAGAAATGGGAGAACTGCATGCTCATATTAAAATTTTAATCTATACAGCAAAGAAAGTAAAAGTTGCCCACTGCTGATTCTCTAACCCACTCCCCAGAAGAAGCCTCTGTTGGGAAGTGTTTTTATGCCCTTCCATTAATGTGCTAAGCATATTTACACAACCCAATTATTTCTCTCAGTCTTTCTACAAAGTAGAATCACAAAGCATGGTTTTGAGTTTCCTTTATTCACCCAACATTTATTATCTCTTGGGTGGGATGGCTCTTAGCAACGTGCTCTCTCTCTTTTTAAAAATAAAATTTTTAATTTTAGTTCTAATTCTCCAGCCTGGTTAACATAGGAATACCCTGTTTCTACAAAAAAAAAAAAGAAAATTGAAAACTAGCCAGGCAATGGTGGCACAACTGTAGTCCCAGCTACTCAGGTGGCTGAGGCAGGAGGGTCACTTGAACCCAGGGGTTCGAGGCTGCAGTGAGCCCTGATTGTGCCACTGCACTCCAGCTTGGGCAACAGACCAAGACCCTGTCTCAAAAAATAATAATAAAACACACATTTATTTATTTATTTATTTATTTATTTATGATACAGAGTCTTGCTCTGTTGCCCAGGCTGGAGTGCAGTGGCACAATCTCGGTTCACTGCAACCTCCACCTCCTGAATTCAAGCGATTCTCCTGCCTCAGCTTCCTGAGTAGCTGGGATTACAGGGGTGTGCCACCATGCCCAGCTAATTTTTGTATTTTTAGTGGAGATAGGGTTTTCTCACCATGTTGGCCAGACTGGCCTTCTTTTTTTAAAAACAAAACAAAACAAAACAAAACAAAAAAAGCAGAGTCTCTATTGCCCAGGTTGGAGTGCAATGGCACGATCTCAGATCACTGCAACCTTTGTCTCCTGGGTTCAAGTCATTCTCCTGCCTCAGCCTCCCAAGCACCTGGGGTTGCAGGAATGTGCCACCATGCCTGGCTAATTTTTGTGGTTTTAGTAGAGACAGGGTTTTGCCATGTTGGCCAGGCTGGTCTCAAACTCCTGTCCTCAAGGGATCCACCCTTCTCAGCCTCCCAAAGTGTTGCGATTACAGGTGTGAGCCACCACACTCGGCCATAAACTTTTATTTTTTAGAGCAATTTTTGGTTCACAGCAAAAAGTACAGAGTTCCTATTAATATTATAACCTCTATCCCCAAACATGCACAACCTTCCCCAGTATCAACATCCCCCAGCATAGTGGTATATTTGTTACAATTGATGAACTTACATTGACATATTATTGTCATCCAAAGTCTATACTTTACATTAGGGTTCACTCTTGGTGTTGTGCATTCATACGTTTGGACAAATGTATAATAAACACATTTGGCCGGGCACAGTGGCTCATGCCTGTAATCCCAGCACTTTGGGAAGCCAAGGTGGGTGGATCACCTGAGGTCAGGAGTTCGAGACTAGTCAGATCAATATGGTGAAACCGCATCTCTACTAAAAATACAAAAATTAGCCAGGTGTGGTGGTGTATGCCTGTAGTCCCAGCTACTTGGGAGGCTGAGACAGGAGAATTGCTTGAACCTGGAAGCTTGAGGTTGCAGTGAGCTGAGATCACACTGCTGCCCTCCAGCCTGGGCAACAGAGCGAGACTCTGTCTCAAAAAAAAAAAAAAACCCCAAGGCCAAAAACAAAGAAACGACATTTGTCCATCATCGTAGCATCATTCAGAGTAGTTCACTGCCCTAATGATCCCCTGTGCTCTGCCTATTCAACCCTCCTTCCACTTAGCCCTTGGCAACCACTAATCCTTTTTATTTATGTATGTATTTATGTATGTATTTATTTATTTATTTTTGAGACGGAGTCTCGCTCTGTCGCCCAGGCTGGAGTGCAGTGGCGCGATCTCAGCTCACTGCAAGCTCTGCCTCCTGGGTTCACGCCATTCTCCTGCCTCAGCCTCCGGAGTAGCTGGGACCACAGGTGTCTGCCACCATGCCTGATTTTTTTTGCATTTTTAGTAGAGACGGGGTTTCGCCTTGTTAGCCAAGATGGTCTCGATCTCCTGACCTCGTGATCCGCCCGCTCTGGCCTCCCAAAGTGCTGGGATTACAGGCGTGAGCCACCGCGCCCGGCTTCTGCAACCACTAATCGTTTTACTGTCTCCATAGTTTTGCATTCTCCAGAATGTCATATAGCTGAAATTATACAGTATGTAAGCTTTTGGCATTGGCTTCTTTCACTTGGGAGTATGCATTTAAAGTTCCTCTCTGGCTTTTCATGGCTCAATAGCTCATTTCCTTTCAGTGCTGAATAATATTCCATTGTCTGATGTACCACAGTTTATTTATCCATTCATTTACTTCAGGGCATCTTGATTACTTCCGAGTTTTGGCAATTATGAATAAAGCTGCTAAAAATATAAACAAGTTTTCATATAGACATAAGTTCTCAATTAATTTGGGTAAATATAGAGGAGTGTGATTGGTGGATCATATGGTTAGAGTTATTTATTTATTTATTTTTTCATTTTTACTCCTGGTAACTCAGGACAGAGTATGTTCATTTTGTGAGAAACTGCCAACTCTCTTCCGAAGAGGCTGTGCCATTTTGCATCCCACCAGCAGTGAATGAGAGCTTTTGTTTCACTTCCATGGTAGTATTTGGTGCTGTCAGTGTTCTGGATTTTGGCCATGCTAATAGGTGTGTGGAGGTATCTTGTTTTAATTTGCAATACCCTAATGACTTAGGATATTAGACATCTTTATTTTATTTATTTATTTATTTATTTATTTATTTATTTATTTATTTATTTTTGAGAGGGACTCTCACTCTGTCGCCCAGGCTGGAGGGCAGTGGTGCGATCTCTGCTCACTGCAACCTCTGCCTCCCAGGTTCACGCGATTCTCCTGCCTCGGCCTCCTGATTAGCTGGGATTACAGGTGCCCGCCACCACGCCTGGTTAATTTTTGTATTTTTAATAGAGACAGGGTTTCACCATGTTGATCAGGCTGGTCTCGAACTTCTGACCTCGTGATCCACCTGCTTTGGCCTCCCAAAGTGCTGGGATTACAGGCGTGAGCCACCGTGCCCGGCCTGGACATCTTTTAATATGCTTACTTGTCATCTGTATTTCTTCCTAGGTGAGATGTTTGTTCAGGTTTTTTTGCCCACTTTTAAAATCCAGTTGTTCATTTTCTGATTGTTGAGTTTTCAGGGTTCTTTGTATAGCTTGGATAACAGTCCTTTATGAAACATATCTTTTTTGTTGTTGTAGTTTTTAAATATTTATTTTATGTACAAAGAGCAATCATGGTTTTTTATTGGGTGGATGCCTTGGATAATCCATTCAAGGAAGATCACTTAGTCCAACTTAATGAAATCTATATCCTTTGCATACCAATGGAAACACTGGAGGCACATATTGTGGCCATATTTCTGGATCAGACTGTGCAGGTCTGAACAGATGCCATGAGAGCGAGAACCCTGGCTGAATTTTTGCAGGTGGCTCTGGTACAGCTGCTGGTGACCCATCTTGCTCTCAGAAGTGCAACGAGATAAAAGGAAAGCCATGAAACATGTCTTTTGCAAATATTCTCTCCCAGTATGTGGCTCATCTTCTTGTTCTCTTGATGCCCTATTCTTTTCAATGGGTGCATAGCATTTCACTGGGTGCCTTATTTAACCAGCCCCCTCTTAATGAACATTCATTTTTTTTTTTCCGGTTTTTGCTATTAAATGTTACAATGGATAGCTTCTAATAATCCTATTTGAATATCTGTGTAAATATGTATGTGGAATAAATTTCTTGGCCCTGTGCAATGACTCATGCCTGTAATTCCAGCACCTTGGGAGACAAAGGCAGGAGGATTGCTTGATACCAGGAATTCAAGAGGAGTCTGAGCATAGTAGTGAGACCCTCTCTTTACAAAAATATATTTTAAATTAGCTGAGTGTGCTTAACAATGGGGATAATAAAAGAGGAAGAAGAAGAAAAAGAAGAAGAGGAAGAAGAGGGAAGAAGAAGAAGAAGAAGAAGAAGAAGAAGAAGAAGAAGAAGAAGGAGGAGGAGGAGGAGGAGGACATTAGCTGAGCATGATGGTGCATGCTCTAGTACCAGCTACTCCAGAGACTGAGGCAGGAGAATGGTTTGAGCTCAGAAGTTCCAGGCTGCAGTGAGTTATACTCATTCCACATGCCCCTGCATACTGGCCTGTGAATGTGAGACCTTATCTCTAAAAAAACAAAAAATAAATTGTTGTAGCCAACTTGTTTTCCAAAACAAAGTAGCACCTTCAAATATAATTGATAATTTATTATTTATTTCTGAGCACTTCTGTGAGGTGGATAGATAACACATTCCAGTTAATTTTCAAGATTAACAATAGGCTAGGGACCACTTGTACATTATTATATATTTCACTGTAACCTGAGACCCATAGTGGCTCAATCAAGAAATATTTATCAACTAGTCAACTGTGGACACAGCTTCTAAAACTTCCTATAATTTGTATTCAATAAAAAGTGGGCAACAGAGATCGCACCATTGCACTCCAGCCCAGGCAACAGAGTGTAACCCCGTCTCAAAAAAAAAAAAAAAAAGTGGACTACAGATCCCATATAGAGTGATCATATAATTGCCTGGGTGCAGTGGCGCACACCTGTAATTCCATTACTTTGGGAGGCCGAGGCACGCGGATCACCTGGGGTCAGGAGTTAGAGACCAGCCTGGCCAACATCGCAAAACCCCGTCTCTACTAAAAATACAAAAATTAGCCAGGCATGGTGGCACATGCCTGTAATCCCAGCTACTCAGGAGGCTGAGATAGGAGAATCGCTTGAAACCAGGAGGCAGAGGTTGCAGTGAGCCAAGATTGTGCTATTGCACTCTAGCCTGGGTGACAGAGTGAGACTCTGTCACAAAAACAAAACAAAACAAAAAAACACAATGCACCAGCTCTGCTAAGGGACAGACTGGACAGACTGCCTCCTCAAGTGGGTCCCTGACCCCAGTGCCTCCTGACTGGGAGACACCTCCCAACAGGGGTTGACAGACATTTCATACAGGAAAGCTCCGTCTGGCCTCAGGCCAGTGCCCCTCCAGAAGAAACTACTTCTGGAGGAAGGTGCAGTCAGCAATCTTTGCTGTTCTGCAGCCTCCAGTGGCGACACCCAGGTGAACAGGGTCTGGAGTGGACCTCTAGCAAACTGTAGCAGACCTGCTGAACAGGGGCCTGACTATTAGAAGAAAAGCTAACAAACAGAAAGCACAACACCAACATCAACAAAAAAGACCCTCACACGAAAACCCCATCCAAAGGTCATCAGCCTCAAAGATCAAAGGTAGATAAATCCACGAAGATGAGGAAAAACCAGCCCCAAAACGCTGAAAATTCCAAAAACTAGAATGCCTCTTCTCCAAATGATCGCAACTCCTCTCCTCTCTAGCAAGGGCACAAAACTGGACCAAGAATGAGATTGACAAATTGATAGAAGTAAGCTTCAGAAGGTTGGTAATAACAAACTCCTCTGAGCTAAAGGAGCATATTCTAACCCAATGCAAGGAAGCTAAGAACCTTGATAAAAGGTTACAGGAACTGCTAACTAGAATAACCAGTTTAGAGAAGAACATAAATGACCTTATGGAGCTGGAAAACACAGCATGAGAACTTCATGAAGCATACACAAATATCAATAGCCGACTTGATCAAGTGGAAGAAAGGATATCAGAGATTGAAGCTCACCTTACTGAAATAAGGTGTGAAGACAAGATTAGAGAAAAAAGAATGAAAAGGAACGAACAAAGCCTCCAAGCAATATGGAACTATGTGAAAAAACCAAACCTACGATTGACTGGGGTACCTGAAAGTGAAGGGAAGAATGGAGCCAAGTTGGAAAACACACTTCAGGATATTATCCAGGAGAACTTCCCCAGCCTAGCAAGACAGGCCAACATTCAAATTCAGGAAATACAGAAACATCACTAAGATACTCCTGAAGAAGAGCAACCCCAAGACACGCAATAGTCAGATTCTCCAAGGTTGAAATGAAGGAAAAAATATTAAGGGCAGCCAGAAAAGTCAGGTTACCTACAAAGGGAAGCCCATCAGACTAACAGCAGATCTCTCTGCAGAAACCCTACAAGCCAGAAGAGAGTGGGGGCCAATATTCAAGATTCCTAAAGAAAAGAATTTTCAGGCTGTGTGCAGTGGCTCATGTCTGTAATCCCAGTACTTTGGGAGGCCGAGGTGGGTACATTATGAGGTCACGTGTTTGAGACCAGCCTGGCCAAGATGGTGAAACTCCTTCTCTACTAAAGATAAAAAAAATAGCCATACTGCCTAAAGTAATTTATAGATTCAATGCTATTCCCATCAAGCTACCATTGATTTTCCTTGCAAAATTAGAAAAAACTACTTTAAATTTCATATGGAACCAAAAAAGAACCTGTATAGCCAAGACAATTCTAAGCAAAAAGAACGAAGCTGGAGGCATCATGTTACCTGACTTCAAACTATACTACAAGGCTACAGTAACCAAAACAGCATGGTACTGATACCAAAACAGATATATAGACCAATGGAAAAAAACACAGACCTCAGAAATAACACCACACATCTGCAACCATCTGATCTTTGATAAACCTAACAAAAACAAGCAATGGGGGAAAGAGTCCCTGTTTAAGAAACAGTGCTGTGAAAACTGGCTAGCCATATGCAGAAAACAGAAACTGGACCTCTTCCTTACACTTTATACAAAAATTAACTCAAGATGGATTAAAGACTTAAATGTAAAACCCAAAACCATAAAAACCCTAGAAGAAAACCTAGGCAATACCATTCAGGACACAGGCATGGGCAAAGACTTCATGATTAAAACATCAAAAGCAATCGCAACAGAAGCTAAAATTGACAAAGGAGTCTAATTAAACTAAAGAGGTTCTGCACAACAAAGAAACTATCATCAGAGTGAACAGGCAACCTATAGAATGGGATAAATTTTTGCAATCTACCTATCTGACAAAGGTCCAATATCCAGACTCTATAAGGAACTTAAACAAATTTACAAGAAAAAAACAAACAACCTTATCAAAAAGTAGGCGAAGGATATGAAGAGACACTTCTCAAAAGAAGACATTTATGCAGCCAACAAACATGTGAAAAAAAGTTCATCATCACTTGTCATTAGAGAAATGCAAATCAAAACCACAATGAGATGCCATCTCATGCCAGTTAGAATGGTGATTATTAAAAAGTCAGTAAACAAGTGGGAGTTGAACAATGAGAACACATGGTCACAGGGAGGGGAACATCACACACAGGTTAGAGGGTAGGGAGCAAGGGGAGGGAGAGCATTAAGACAAATACCTAATGCATGCAGGGCTTTAAACCTAGAGGATGGCTTGACAGGTGCAGCAAACCACCATGGCACATGTATACCTATGTAACAAACCTGTACATTCTGTACTTGTATCCCAGAACTTAAAGTAAAATAAAGAAACAAACAAAAAAAAGAGTGATCATACAATTTCTCATCCAAACATTTAAAAAGCAGGTAACACATAACAGGGTCTTTCCCAAACAAAACAGGACTTACGGTTACCTTATATACTTTTTAGAGATAGGGTCTTGTTCTGTCACCCAGACTGGAGTTCAGTGGCACAGTCAGAGCTCGCTGCAACCTCCACCTCTTGGGCTCAAGTGATCCTCCCACCTCAGTCTCCTGAGTAAATAGGATTACAGGTGTGCACCACCAAACCTGAATAATTTTTCTTGCTTTTGTAGAGACAGGGTCTTGCCATGTTGTATGGGCTGATCTCAAACTCCCAGGTTTAAGCAATCCCCCCGTCTCGGCTTCCCAAAATGCTGGGATTACAAGCTTGAGCCACTGTACCTGGCCAAGGATGTATTTTTAAGTGAAAAAAGAAGCAAAGTTCAAAAGTTTTTAAGATGGTATTTTCTGTGTAAAAATGAGGAGAACTTTGCTTACATCTGCATGAAGGAACTGTGGAAGCACACTCCAAAGAAACAAGGTAGAGTGGGAAATAGTGGGAAATCTTTTTTTTTTTTCTTTTTTGAGATGGAATCACCCTCTGTCACCCAGGCGGGAGTGCAGTGGCACGATCTTGGCTCACTGCAACCTCTTCTTCCTGGGTTCAAGCAATTCTCCTGCCTCAGCCTCCTGAGTAGCTGGGACTACAGGCACCCGCCACCACGCCAGGCTAATTTTTGTATTTTAGTAGACACAGGGTCTTACCATGTTGGCCAGGCTGGTCTCAAACTCCTGAGCTCAAGCAATCTGAACATCTCGGCCTCCCAAAGTGCTGGGATTACAGGCCTGGTTGGAAATTTATGTATTTTGTTTTAGTTTTATTTTTTGAGATGGAGTCTTGCTCTGTTGCCCAGGCGGGAGTGCAGTGGCATGATCTCGGCTCACTCCAACCTCCGCCTCCCAGGTTCAAGCAATTCTCAGGCCTCACTCTCCCCAGTAGCTAGGATTACAGGCATGCACACCATGCCCACCTAAAGTTTGTA